TAACTCCCTGACTCTTCCATCATGCATGTGCAGAGACAACTGTTGCTGTTAGTGTGGGGCACAGGTTAGTGCTTCTTTAAAGTTTGCTAATTTGCTGAGTGAATGGCAGAATAAGACCCAGGTCCTTGAGATTGAAGCCTTAGAAAGTGCTGAAGGAAAATGGTGTTATGTAAGGACACCTACTAATTTCTCCCTGGAACATCAGCTTCCTCCCCCGATAAATAATCATTTCCCCACCTCTGTGTGATTAAACAGGAGCTGTCATCTCTGTGGTTGCAGTGACTGGTTCAGGAACAGGCACCTGACTCAGGTCAGACCAATGAGAGCCTTGAGATGGTAGTGGTGGGGGGGGCAAGTATTCAGTCTGCTCTGGAGCTATGAAATATGGGCCCAAGAGCTGCTGGAGAACATATCCTTTACCATAAGGATGGAGCCTGTCTATAGAGTAGACAGGAAAGACAAGTCGCAGCAAGGCTTGAGTCATTCAAGGCCCCTACACACCTGTTTTTTCCCAGACTTAGTTATGGAAGTCGGTACGTTTTCTTTTGGCCCAAGCTAGGTCAATTGAGTTTCTAACCTGGCAAAAAAGCTCTTACTTAAGCCTATTTCTGGAAAGTCTAGGCTATTGATTTGTTCCAACCAAGACCAACTATCATAGCTACCACAGCAAAGCAGTTTCTTCTAAGTCCTTTTCCAAACCACATGCAGTGCCTGAATAAAAGTATATGTAATTAACTGATAGCAGAAAGTATTTAAGACAAACAACTGTTGAAATATTCCGGGGAGATTTAAAGACACTTTGGTCATTGCTTCTAACAGAACTCAGTGAACAGGCAAAAAACACTTGTTCTTGTGCCCAGAACAAGAAAAAAAAAAAAAAGTTCACCTTTTTGGAAAATTCCTTTTCTTTGTCACCAAGTGCTTGAGTTTTCTCTTGCTCAAGAAGGAAATGTGATCTTCTCTGTTCCTCTAGCATGGATTCTGTCTGATGCAGTGAGTCCCGCAAAATTTTTATTTCTCCATTTTTAATGAGGACTTCTTCTTCCATTGCTTTCATCTGTAAATCCCAAATCAATCTTGTGAAAAGCTTACAAGGGTAAGTTACATATGTACTTGTTTCAACATATAGTTGTGGAGATGGAAAAAGCACATGTAAACCATGTTCTACAGACCAGAAGTCCCCAAATACATCCATACCAACTAGATGTCGCCATGGTCCACTAGGCCCATTCGTGGAAGAGTTGACATTCAGCAAGCTAGCTTAAGGACACACACTGTCATTCGCACATACAGATTCTGTAGGTTCTAAAAGTATTAAACAATCTGGGTCACACACTTCATAGTTCCAGAATTTCACACTATGTTCCTAGCTTTCCTAAGGACCTAATCTACAGATGGTCATATAAACGATGTCTGCTTTTTTGTAAAACTGCTAATGAAAACAGCAAACATTATGATGTATCCCCTGTATAAGACATATGCTATAAATCTGTCTCAGTGCTATGACAGAAAGTTTGTATCTCTTTTTGGATTGGGTGTACACTGTTTCCTTTCTTGCCTAGTTGTTAGGAATCTCAGGATTTGGTTTCTTTCAGTCTGAATTTTCTGGCTTTCCCCAGCCTTCCTCCATTTTGTGGGGCTGAATCTTGAACTCTTGTTTTAAAGCATTTACATATCTTACTGTACAATGCTTTATAACACTGCATAAGTGATTAAGTTAGCTATAAGAACCACAAGTTAAGTCACTTACCTTTTCTTTAAGTTCTTTGTATTGTGCCTGAAGTACTTCTAATTCAAAATTATCTTGAACTGGAACAAATTCTCTGTTCTTCCCTGCAGGAGTTTTTGACATCCCATCTAATCTAGGGACCTTATGAACATCTGTAAAAAACAGTTCCCATATACTTTTCAGAATCCAACATTTTCCCACTTTTGTCGGTCAATGCTGAAAAGAATCACTCTTGAAAGCAAATTAGAGAAAGTTCTAGTAAGCAATATAGTTATTTTCCAACCTAAGAAAAGGAATCAAACTCACAGATGATCCTTATAAAATAACAGATCCTGCCATTCTCCCAACCCCCAATTTTAAGAGTCTCATCTGAAGGCTGAAAACATGTTGTGGGGACCTCACTGATCAGCAGTTGGTGATCTATTTTTCAACAATATTTACTGAGCACCTTTATCTACACCAATACCTACACCTACTGAGCACCTGGCACAATCTAGTCTCTAAAGGTACAGCGGTGAGCATAATGGATCCAGTCCTTACACTCACAGAGCTTATAGAACATTCAGAAATATTCACACAAATGCAAATTTACAACTGTGGTAAGAGCTGCACTAAAGAACAAATATAGGAAAGCCTATCCGAGGGGGATTTGATCCAACAGGAATGACTAGAAGTCTTCCCAAGGAAGTGATGACTGAGCTCGGAGCTGAAGAACGAGCAGAATTTAAGCAGATGAGGAGGAATGGGGAAATGGATGAAAAGAACACCATGTACAAGAAACAACGAGGAAGCAGGGAGAATTCAAGAAAGGAAGGTCGTGTAGCTTAAACTCAGAAAGAGTGGGAAAGGGCCAGGCCATACTAGCCTTGCAGGCCATGTTAAGAACTTTGATCTTTTTTAAAAAAGATTTATTTATTTATTTATTTGACAGACAGAGATCACAAGTAGGCAGAGAGGCAGGCAGAGTGGGGGGTAGGCAGGCTCCCTGCTGAGCAGAGCGCCTGATGCGGGGCTCAATCCCAGGACCCTGGGATCATGCCCTAAGCCGAAGGCAGAGGCTTTAACCTACCGAGCCACCCAGGTGCCCCTCTTTTTTTTTTTTTTTTAAAGATTTTATTTATTTATTTATTTGAGAGAGAGAGAGCACAAGTAGAGAGGAGCAGGGGGAGGGGGACAAGCATATTCCATGCTGAGCACAGAGCCCAATGTGGGGCTCAATCTCATGACTCTGAGCTGATATCAAGAGTCAGAGGCTTAACCAGCTGAGCCACCCAGGTACCCCAGGACTCTGATCTTTATAATAGAGGCAGTGGGAAGTCATTAAAGGGCTTCAGTAGGGATGTTCACTTTTATCTGTGTGAGACACAGCCAGATTTGAGTTCTGCAAAGATCACTCTGGCTGTGGTGTAAAGTCTGACTTACAGGGAGTCGAGACTGGAAACAGGGAGAATTTAGCAGATTATTGTCCAGACAGAAGAAGTGACTAACATAGATCAGGGAGATGGTAGAGATGATGCAAAAAGGATGGATTCCCGAGGTGGACTAAGAAGGTAAAGTTATAGGATTTGGAAAGGAATTAGATGGTCAAGGAAAGGGCACTGTTGCCTTGTGCCATCTGATGGAGAGTGGTGCTAGTCACTGTTATACAGAATATTTAGTCATTAATGAACATTTTCTGAATGTCCACTCTGCCAAATGCCATGCTGGCAATAGTGGAGAATGACAGGATTTCCAGGAGGTGAATGTGTGGGATTTAAGATATCTGTGAGATATCCAAGTAGAGATCCAAGGTGCCCTCAAAACTTTTCTCTTTCTGTGGGCTCCACAAGACTTCATACCTTTCTATAGCTAGAAATGTAAGCTCCTGAAGGAAGGAGGGTTTTTTGTCTTTTGTTAATTGCTAAGTATGTTGCAGTTCCTAAGGTTTTGGGCACCTAGTACAACTTACTGGTTGTATAAAGGAATAAATCTCTTTCATCTCTTGCCCTGGCCAGGCCCCTTTCTTATGTTCTTGCGGCCCAAGCGGGGGTGGGGGTTGCGGGCAGGGAGGCGCAGTGGTATTCATTAGATCTAGAGCCTCCCAAACCTGTCACAAGAATGAATTCCCATGTGTAGGTATGATTCTGGTGGTGGTGGACGTGTTCTAAGGATCTTTGCTTAGAACCAAGAACTTCGTGGCCCAAACTTTATAAACTAAAATGTTAACCTAATTTCCTGTATTTCAAATCGGCTGTCTGACATTCTTGATACATTTCTCCCCGAAATCAAAAGACCTTCTGAGGTACAACTACTGCTTAAATGAAGCCATTCCTATATTTTTAGGAGGGCATTGTGGGTGCAGGACACCGGGGCAGCGGTCTCTGTGGGGTTCCGAAGCCACAGCCATCAGAGAGGTCTGGCGAAGTCTGCACCACCCTCCGGGTAAAGGCCCCGAAGCGCACTCACTGGACACGTCCCGAGCAGCGGCCGGGCACTGGCTCAGGGCCTGCGACGCGAGGGTGTCGAGTTCCTCCAGGTCGTCGGCAGTGAAATCCCCGTGCGCGCCGAACGGGTCTTCGGGGTCCAGGACGGCGGCCGCAGGGAAGCCCCGGGCTCGCTTGGTCGGAGGGTGCCCGGTGCTGGGCGGAGGGCCAGGGCCAGGCGCCGGGAGCCCGCTCCGCCTCCTGCTGCTCGGCGCGGGGGTTCCAGCCATGCTTCCGCCGGCCACTGTCCGAGAGCACCCGAGGAAGGCCTGGTCGTCGCGAGGCCGGATCGCGGACCAACCGCCCGCGCGCCGCCGCTCGCCTCAGCCGCTAGGGCCACGCCCCCGAGCCCACGGGCCAATCGGCTGCCAGCCAGCGGGCGCGGAAGGATGATCTAATCCAAACGCGTCGCCGTGCTCTGCGGAGAGCGGGCCTTTCTCGGTGGAGTCCCGCCCTCCAGCCCAGCTCTGCTGGGCTCTCTGGTACGGGTGGCTGGGTCTCTGTGGGTCTCCGTGGGTCTTCGGCGGGATGTGTGCTGCGCGGTCCACGTTACCAGGGGGGCGGGGCCGAGCCTTACCAGCCTTACAGCGCCGGTGGCTCTGCGCCCCCTCCGCGCAGCTGCGGTGGAGTCTGCCCCATCCACACGTACACTTGTGAATCTTGACAGGCAGCGTTCAGGGGTTTGGTCTCTACGATTTCGCTGTTTTCCTCCCGCCGGACTCACCTCTCACATACCCAGAAGTCCTCTTGAGGAGGCGTCTGGGAGAGTGGAGTTGGACGGAGTATGAATACAACTATCTTTGAGAAGAGTTAATGTTTGGAGTGTGCGTATTTGAGATAGGTCTGGAGAAGAAAGGTCACGGAGAAGGGGTGATCCTGAGAAGAGTGTGCCTGTTTTGGAGAGTGTGGGAACTAACTCTTCAGGCTGTTGGCATTCATTCATTTCTCTGAGAGCGCCTGAGTGGTTTTGTCCTAAGCGCAGGCCATGAATGAACGAGGAGGCTCAGGAGGTCAGAAAGGCCCCTTGAAAGTGGCACCTGGGCTTCCCTCCAGTTTGAGTGGGAGTGACTGACTTAGCAAGGAGACTGGCATCCAAGCCTCAGACGAGAATACAACACCGACATGGAGGCCACACAAATGCCAGGTAGGTGTTATCTGTGGCAAAGAGAGAAGGTTAAGCCTTCAAAGAGGAGCAGGACTTGGGCACCTGACAGGATATTATTGGGGAGCAGTAGTGTGCAGGACAGTTAGCTGTTACAGGGTGTTAGAGAGTAACAGAGGTAAGACTCTACTCTTGCACACTCAGTGCCAAACTTAGCTTTTAAGTGTCCCGTGAATGTTTATGGAAGCAGTAAATGAAGGGGAGATGGTTGTCGGGGTATAGAAGATCTTGAATACCAGAGTTTCATTTTTGAGACGACTAGTAGGTTCCCTCAGTAGGCCCAAATGTTGAACACTTGTCTTAATTATGGCAGGTCTCTCGTCTTGTGAAGAAAGGATTGTCCTTCGTTTGTCAGGAAGGATTAGGTTCCACCAAACAGAATAGTAGGCAGCAGTGTGGTGTTGTGCTGGATCTTGGGGGTTGTTCTCAGCCCCACAGGGAATGCCAGAAGTCCAGAGTGTGCTGGCTGTGCAACTTTCCAGAAGCGGACCAAGGAGGGAACCCCCTCCCTTATTAATGTCAAGTACCTTAGTCATAAAACAGGCTTCAATCTATTAAAAAACCTTTTCCAGTTTTGACTTAGCAAAATCTGACAAGTTCTAGAGCCCTTCTTGAAAACAGGCAATTAGAGAAAGATGAACATTATTAGCATAATTTCCAGTGATATCAAGAGCCTGGAGGGGGAATCCAGACTTGTGCCACTGAATTGTTCCAATATATATGCATTTAGCCTCTGCCTCCTCCAGTTTACTCCTCCTGGAGTCAAAGGTGATCATCAACAAATATAAAGAGAAAAAAATAAAGGTAACAGACAACTGGGACCACCACTTTATAGACAGTGGTAAGGGAAAAGCTCACTACTGTGATGTTTGAATTCTCTAAAGGAAGAGAGTCAGTCTCCAGTATATACAAGTGACAGGCAGAAGGAAGAGTTGGTAAGAACAGTGAGTCAGCTTGCTTATAATGTAGACCATTGTGGCTCAAGATGATCAGGGAATGAATGGTATCAGAAGGTAGGGAGTGCCAGCCAGATGCCTAACTGGTCATTGTGGGGACTCGATTTTGCCCTAAGAAGCCACTGAGTTCTGAGCCAAGAAGAGACAAAGTCTAACTTTGTGGTTTAGCAGGGACACTCTGCAGCCTGAATGAAGGTTAAACTGTAGAGGAGAAAGGGTAGGGGGCAGGAAGACAAATGTGGGTGTGACTGCAATAACCCAGGTGAGGGATTTTAGGTCAGAATGGGGTGTGGGGGGGGTGATACTGGAGGAGGTATGCAGAGGCCACATTTAATTTGGCTGATGGGTCAAATGTGGGGTTTAAGGCATGGGAACCTAGGAAGGACCTTTCTGAAGCCCTAGTGTAAATGCAGACCCGGAGGCTTCAGAGTAAGCTAGGTTCTTAGGAACTTTCAGAAATCTTTCTCTTTTCCTGTTTTATTCCCTTTATAATGCATATTGTATGTATGAATGTTGCTCCTCTCCCATAAAAGAGAAGTTCCTTAACAAAAGGAATTGCCCTCTGCTACACGTGCAACATGCATTTAGTGGACACCTGACATGAAAGATGAATAATTCCATTACAACAAATGGCAACATGGATGTCTTCATAGAAAGAGAACTTTTTTCCTCCCCAAAGTACAAATTCGTTCATTAACCTCATGTAATATATTCCATCGGGCATACAATGATACAAAAACAATACCCATTTCAAATGCATTGGTTTAATTCCAGGTGACACGGAGTTCAGGATAGAACCAAGACTGAAGAGCACACGTTGGCAGGATTCCCGGCTAGGTTCACTCTGACCTCAAAACTAACACAGAAATGACTGAGTGACAAAAAATAAAGAGAATATGAGCCACTGTACGATTATTTTATTTTTTTTACAAAAGTTTATTCTTAAATGTACAACAGGATCTAAGACACTTCATTCCAGCTATAGGTAGCAACAGATGCTATGACAGGGAATCCAGATGTTTAAACAGGAATGGAATTAAGGATCATCACTGCCTCGGGCACAAGAACAGCTTACTTTTTGCCAGATTTCTTAATTCCACCTGTGGCTGCAAAAGGAAAAAAAAAAGTCTCAGCTAAGGAAAAATATATTCCTTATGGTAGAAGTGCTGGGAGTCTGATATGGATCCTAGAAAGGCTCAGCTCTTGTGCCGGACATTCTTTTTTTTTATTTTTTTTTAAAGATTTTATTTATTTATTTGACAGAGAGAGAGAAAGAGAGCACAAGCAGGCAGAGAGGCAGGCAGAGGCAGAGAGAGAAGCAGGCTCCTGACTGAGCAAGGAGCCAATGCGGGGCTTGATCCCAGGACCCTGAGATCATGACCTGAGCAGAAGGCAGAGGCTTAACCCACTGCGCCACCCAGGCGCCCCGGACATTCTTTTTGATACAAGCATGCACAGGGCTTTACCAACAGTCTATGTGGGGTAATACTTGAATGAGGATGAGGCAGGGGCACAAATAATGGCTGTGCACTGGCCTCGATTACACTATTACATATTTCACACACTGGCTCATTTAATCCCCATCCCCCATCAACCCATTTTCCAGATAATGAAATCTCAGGGAGGTGTTGTTCAAAGATATAGGCTGGTCCAGAACAAATCCAAGATTCCACCCCAAGTCCACATTCTCAACTGCCACATCACACACTACTACATTATGATCCTGGGGTGTGGTTTACTCAGTATCTTTATTTTATTCAATTTACATTTGACTATTTGGCACACATAGATAACTTAAAAAATAGTTACAAAATTAAATATGCCTAACGCAGTAATGAAGATCCTAAATGTCTGACAAAATGAACCTTTAAAAAATGAGAGCTTCAATGAAAAACAAGTAGTATAGGATTTCACTAAAGACTGACATTATCCCTATACACAATCACAGATTAAAGGAAAGTACAAAATACCTCACGATCCAAAAGGGAATCACAATACCTAGAATCTCAGCACTGTGAATCAAACCAAATCCACTGGGATAGAAGCCTTGTAAAGCCCTGGACAACACTCCCACCATTCTAGCCTCCACCAGCGCAGGGGGTGGCTGAGTGGTCCCATAGGGCACAAATAACTATAGAAGAAATTGTTCACTAGTTTGATGAATGTAAACAGCATCTAAGAAGTACAGAAAAGTATTCGGACTGTTGGGCTTGAAAAATCTTTTTTTTTTTTTTTTTTAAGATTTTATTTATTTATTTGACAGACAGAGATCACAAGTAGGTAGAGAGGCAGGCGGAGAGAGAGGAGGAAGCAGGCTCCCCGCCAAGCAGAGAGCCCGATGCGGGGCTCGATCCCAGGGTCCTGGGAT